TTGACTACGCTGCAGCATGCAAAGCTTGGAAAGCCACAGAGGTACCATTTAGTGGAAGAAAGACCTACACAATTAATCTGATTTCCAACTACTAATTACATATTAGTGCTAAGTTATAATTCCCTCTTCTCGCTGGGCATAGCTGAGCCTTCCATAAATGCATTCTTCCCACTGCAGAGGCTGAGAACTTTGTGGGAAAGGGACCTGGATAAGTTAGAATCCTCAGAGCCTAATAACGTTAATCATAACTGGCAGATGCTAAGCACGTTGCGATTTACAGAATACTGTTTTTACAGGGCATCATTTCATTCCCATCAATCATCCTGTGAAGGGTGGTCTTCATTCACATTTTAAACACAAGGTCATTCATTGTAAGCCAATGAGGTGAAGCTAAATGGGGACAGGCAAGGCTTGGTCTCACATCATCTGAGTACAGATCAAATTCTCTTCTCCAAGAGATGAGAAAACAGAGAGAGGCTCACAGAACCATGGGCACACAGGGTAGAAAGGACCTGATGAGCTCTCTGTTTAGGAAACTAGTAATGTGACCCCTCTACACAGTAATCTAACAAACCAACCACGATTCTCTCTGCCTTTGAGCATTAAATTCACATTAGGCTGTAATCATCTTCTTCATTGAGCTACCAGTTAGCTTCCTCTCTCTCCCAAAAGCTCCTCTCAGCTGAGACTAGGTCCGTGGCTCGTCCCTGTACCCCGGCCACTACTTGGAACCGAGACTGCCATACTACAGGATCTCAACAGGTGAATGAGAGCTTGGAAACTGGCTTCAGACACCAGTCAGACACCTTCAGGAGCCACATCTAAGCCTGCCATGCCTCATACAGGCCAAGCCCCAGAGAGATGGGCAGCCCAATGGCCTCTCCAGTCAGTGCCTACAAGTGTCCCCTATCCCAGGACTGCTCAGGCCACTCATCTGAGCAACAACAAAGTGGGAAGGGAAACTGAGGGGAGGGAGGACCACAATGAGTTCTCTTCAGAAGCCACCAGCAGAAAATCAAAGCTGAGCATGGATAGAGAGACCAGGTAGAGAAGGGACCTGGAAGAGCCAGGGGCACCTGGGACCAGTGCAGGAGTCAGGGTGCTGTGGTACAGAAGAAAGAGTTACACAACATAGAGAGACCCTGCCTCTAATAAATAGATGCTCAAGGAACAGAGACTGCAGAACTCACTTCTTTAAGTCAGCTCTAACAAAGGCTGGCCAAATCCCAGGAGTGTGGCTGGACATCCTTCCCAATGCGGCGTTAGAGGCTGAACTAGGTTTTCAGTACTACAAAGTACTACACACTTAGTAGCTCCAGGTAACGTTATTGTATGGTTCTGTACATCAGAAATCCATCAGAAGTCTTGGCTAAAGCCAAGGTGGTAGAAGGGCTTATGTTCATTTCTGGAAACTTCAGAGAAATGATATCCTTGTCTCTCCCGTCTCGCCAGCATCAGGAGGGCAGCCTCATCCTTTGGCTCAAAGCTCGCTTCCTTCATTGTCAACACCCACAAGAACAGCGAGTCCTTCTCATGCTGCATCACCCAGACCTCTTCTTCTGCCTCCCCTCTCCCCTGCTGAGAACCTGGGATCACTCTGAGACCACCTGGATAATCTCAGAGTCTTTCTCCATCCCAAAGTCCTTAACCACACCCACCACATTTTTGTTCTATAAAGTCACACATTTGCAAGTTCTGAAAATTAGAATAGTAATATCTTCAGGGGGTCATTTTTTTTAAGCCTGCTACAATAAAGTGCTATCATACCAACATTAACTTGGAAAAAAACAAACCATAAGATAACTAGATCAATGACACAATGGAGTGGACTGTAGAGAGGTATACTACACAATGCTAAAGGGATCAACCCCCTGAAAACACAGCACCAAACCACACAGCTACATAATATGTGTCTTCCTCCATTTTTGCTGCTGTAGTAAAGTATCTGTGTCTGGGGACTTATAGAGACATCTCTTCAGCTTGTGTGTGATTCTGGAGTTCAGAAAGTCCAAGCATCCATCCCTGTCCACCATTTATGAACGCTCACAGGAGCCATTGGAAGCTTCTCTCTGAAGTGCTATGCTCAGATAACAGGTAGAAACCCCCTATTCCTGTGCCCCATAGTTCTCTCAGTGATCTCTCCATCTTTTCATCTCCAGCAGACATATGAGGGAAGCAGGGAAGCTGTCATCATCCCCGATCTCTAGATAGGAAATTAAGAATCAGTTGTGTGAGGCGGGCAGTGGTGGTGCACGCCTTTAATCCCAGCACTTGGGAGGCAGAGGCAGGCGAATCTCTGTGAGTTCAAGGCCAGCCTGGGCTACAGAGTGAGTTCCAGGAAAGGCGCAAAGCTACACAGAGAAACCCTGTCTCAAAACAAACAAACAAACAAAAAAAATCAGTTGTGTGACTTGGATGACGTCAGCTCACCACGGGGTTGACTGGGCTCTTTGACATTAGTTGACATTAGAACTGGGCTCTTTTCTGCCTTTTGCTTTTCCCATTTCACCCACACTAAAGCAAGGGAGAGGCATTCAGGCTTGAGGCAAGTGGCTCAGCTCCACCACACAGCAGCTGCATACATACCCTTAGAGGTGCTCCTTCAATGACTCTCTGATCCAGTGTCTTTCTCTGTAGAATCAAAGCGATAACAGTTGCCGTCACACTGACTCCTACTAAATTTCAGTGCATTAATACCAGATAGCACATGTAAAACAGTACCCCAACCCATAACAGCAGCTCAATAACTGGCAGTTGGCATTAAATACCACTTTTATCCCAAATAAATGCATGACAGAAAGTGTAATGCAGGGGCTGGATCAATGATGCAGCAGTTAAGAGCACTGGCTGTTTTCCTGGAGGCACCTAGTTCAGTTCCCAGCACTCATAGTTCACTTCCCAGCACTCACATCAGGTGCCTTAAAACCACCTGTAACTCCAGTTCAAGGGGATCCGAATCCTCTTCTGGCCTCTGCTAGTTCTGCATGCGGGTGGTGCACAGACATGCAGGCCACAAAACCTTCACACATGAAAAGCAAGTATAATACAGTCATTATTCGCCCGATTTAGTAACACTCCCCTAAGTCTCCCACCATCAGAGAATCAGATACCCGTCACTATTAACACAATGCAAATGCGTAGAAATACTTTAAAATTCTGTTGAGAAATGGAGAATTAAGACATTTGTCTAAAACTTCAAAGTATCTCAAAGGATGAGCTTTTTCCACATGCCTTTTTTTTTTTTTTTTTTTTGGTTTTGGTTTTAGTTTTTCAAGACAGGATCTCTGTGTGTAACTTTGGCTATCCTAGAACTTACTCTGTAGACCAGCCTGGCCTTGCCTTGAACTCACAGAGATCCACCTGTCTCTGCCTCCTGAGTGCAGAGATTAAAGGTGTGTGACATCACTGCCTGGCTCTACATGCATATTTTTAAGAAAAATAAAAAAATAAGACTCATTTCAAACCCTCTCCGGCTGTGCACAGAGGGAAACCATGATGTCTGTCATCTGTCACTGGTTTCTTGTATTTCTCTTTTCTCTGTGGTCAGTGACCGTATGTCAGGATGAGCTAGTGTTTTAATGCTGCCAGTGGGCAGGGCATAAAAAACCGGTAATCAGTTCCCTTCTACAACAACATTCCATTTTTCATCAGTTCGGCAATCATGGATTAATTATGAGTCTGTCTCTCCAACAGGTGGTACCTGTGGTCACATGACCATAGCAGAGCTACCTCGAAAATCAGGCAGATAAGCGGTCTGTCCTAATTTCAAATACAGCTGTCCATCAGCTGTGTATACAGGGGCCAGGGCAGTTGCACAATTTACCAGGATGATCTTCATGGGTGTCTTAGATCTTTATATTTGCTAATGGTGATGGCAAGGCCATTCAAACAGCCCCTCAGTTGAGTGTCTTCTCAGGTTTGACCAGGGTAGATCTAACACTCAAGGATGTGCCTGTTTCCATCATATCACCCATCACGTGGTTCTCCATTATCATGACATTCACCAATTCTGGTGGCTTTGCCAGGGATTTTAAAGAAGTATTTCTCAAGCATTCGCTTGGTCACACAAACAACTTAAACATATATTGAAGTTGTATCTTTCAGCCCATCTCTGGTGCTTCACAATGATGTAGAAAACATTTTTCAGTCTATGTGTTGTGATTTGAGAGCCATGGATTAAAGTTCAAAGAACAGGAAGACTTGAGGCTAGATGTCCAGAGAATGTGGTTCTATTTGAGGCATGACATGGCCAAAAGGTGACAACAGAGCTGCTCATGAGGTGACCAGACTCAGCAGTGCTTCCTGGCAGGACAAACACTTATTTGAAAGACAGCTAGACTACAGTTATTCAGATTGGGTTTGGGCAGTCATTTTCCTGAAAATGAGTGAAACCTACTCTCTACTGCCAGGAAAAGAAATGGTCTCTTAGTTTCTTGGTTGGTTGGTTGGTTGGTTGGTTGGTTGGTCGGCTGGTTGATTGGTTTGTTTGGTTGTTTGTTTGGTTGGTTGGTTGGTTTTTGTCTTTGTTCATATCAAACACTGAGCTGTTAACTCAAAGTTAGAATTTTGGGAAACTTGTATCTGCAGCTATATTGACTTGATAAAATGTAAGCTATGGAGCTGGGCATAGTGGCACAGGCCTATAATCCTAGCACTCAGTAGGCAGAGGCAGGAGGATTGCCATATCTTTGAGACCAACCTGGTCTACATGGTGAATCAGAGCAGCTGGAGCTATGTAGCCAGAGACCCTGTCTCAAAGGAGAAGGAAGAGGAAGAAGAGGGTTGAGACAAAAAGGCACAAAGAAAAGATTCATGGAAGACAAGAGAAGAAATTAGAAACACCAAAAGCCATAGAAAGAGAATCAGAAACACTTCTCTGTAGAGGCCTCGGCCATCAGAGTCACAGAGGGAATTCCATTTTCATTCAGTTGCTGGACAAATACCATGACTGAAGCAACTTAGGGGAGGAAAATGTTTATTTCATTTATACTTCTAGGTTACAGTCCGTGATGGAAGAAGGTAAGGGCAGAAACTCAAGAAGGCGGGCCTCTTGCTGGTCCATGCAGCATCACCTCTGACCTGGGAATTCGCATAGCCGAAAAAGGACAGCAGAAACCATGGAGGAAAGGTACCTGACGGCTTATGCAAACTCATGTCTAACGACCTGTTTTATACAGCTCAGAACCACCTGGACAAGGAACGGTGCCACCCACAGTGGGCTGGGCCCTCCTCCATCAATGGAAGCAATCACGATTCTCCACAGACATGCCCACATGTCAATCTGATCTGGCCAATTCCTCAATTAAGACTTCCTTCTCAGGAAACTCCAGTCAGGTTCAAGTTGACAGTTAAGTCTAAGTAGTATATACGGTGACACTGAAGGTGCATGGGGACCCCAAAGGAGCCCAGGTCTGGAGCAGCAGCAGTCAGGTAAAGGCCTGCCGGTATAGTGACCATCATGGTTCCAGCTCTGGTTAGCCCTGGGGCCACATCTGCCCACGCCGCCTTCTTGTGTCCAATCTAGAACTTGATTCAGACTGGCTTTCAGAAGTGTGTCCTTTCATTTTAACTTGTGTGAAATATGTTATTTAATATATTAACATTCCATGTCTGGTACATTAGGAAGAAAGAATGCTGAACTTGATAGTAGCATGAACATACCTGTGTGTTTCCATTAAACCCGAGTCTCCTCTGCTGTGAGGATGCCCATTCCAGCCGTTAAGACACAACTCTTCCCGGGCCTGACCGCTGACATGGCTCTCACTGAGCCTGTAACAGTTCTTCAGAAGGGTGGGTCCACAGATGATCTCACACACTGTCTGAAGACTCAGATTGTGGAATCTCCGACCTATAATGTACAGACACTTTCGTTAAATGTAGTAAAAATGAATAATCGGAAAAAAGAAGCATAAACAGATAACTAATACAAAGTTGGTTTTCATATATAATTATAATTATGTTTAAATTATCTTTTATTTAAAAAAAAGATTCTAGGCCATGGAGATGGGTCAGTAGGTAAAGATACTTGCTGCCAAGTCTAACAAAATGAGTTCCCTGGGACCCACATGGTGGAAGGAGAGAATGGATGGACTCCCCCATGTTGTCCTATGACTTCCACAGGAGTGGGCACACTCACACACATGCACACGCTAACACACACAATGTTTAAAAAAAATGACTTGGATCTGACCCCGGTGATGTTGTCATTCCTAGATGGAAAATACAATTTGTAAAGGTACTTTCTTTTCATTGCTGATGCATTGGGGACTTGGTCCCAAGGTCTCGCTCATGCTAGGCACACAATATGCCACTATATCCCAGGCCCTTCCTTTTTAGGCAGAACTCACTCATTTGCCCTAGGCTGTCCTTGAACTCCACACCCTCCTGCTTCAGCCTCCCAAGTGGCTGAATGACAGGCTTCTGCTGCTGGACCTGGCTTTTGAATGTATTTTCAAATTTGGTCAGTATTGGTGATAGTGTCTCACAGATCTGCAGTGACAAAATGTCGCCTTTTAATGGTTGTTGTTACATTCTGGGCTCTGACCTAACAATCTGTATAAAAAGCTTGTTCTTCCAAATGTCTCCTTTTATTAATATCCTTGGCTCTTACCTGCCAATGGAAGAACATATGCTTATCCCCTCCTTGCATGGAAATATTCTGATATTGAAAATTGAGATGTTAAATGTGGTGGTTTGAGTGAGAATGGTTCCCATAGACTCATATGTTTGAATACTTGCCCTCCAGCTGGTGGAACTGTTTGGGAAGGACTAGGAGGTGTGGCCTTGGAGGAGGAGGTGTGTCATTGGGGAAGCAGAGTGTTCAAAAGACTCTGCAGTTCCCAGTTCTCTCTCTGTCTCAGGGACGTGGTCAAAATATGAGTTCTCAGCTGTCCCTTCATTCTCCCATTAAAAGCTCTGACCCTCTGAAACTGCAGACCCAATTAAATCTCATAGTTTTCATCACAGCACTAGAAACGGGACTGAGACATCAATCAAGAAAGCCTGAAAATCCACTCACCTCTTTTCCAATGTGACAAAATGGAATCTTGTCTTCCAGGAACAGGAAGGGTTAATTTCATAGTGGGAATATTTTAGAGTTTTTCTCCTCAAAAATTACTTACTTCTGTATGCAGCATGGCCATTTCTAATCAGCTTCCATATTGACACTTAACACATAAGGAGAATAACACATCTAATGTATTACTGTCTATAATTCACTAATTTTACTCTATAACTAAGTAGAAGGTTTAGTTACACTAACTTTTAAAATCTTTGTGTGTGTATGGTGGTATTTTATTAATATGGTGATATTTTATTTGTACTGAAATGTGATTTTATTTATATGTTAATAAATAAAGTTGCCTGGGGGTCAGAGCTAATAGCAAGCCATAGCAGAAGGATGATGGTGGCGCACACCTTTAATCCCAGCACTTGAAAGGCAGAGCTAGGCGGATCTCTGTGTGTTCAAGGATACAGTCATCATGGAGACACACACCTTTAATCTCAATACCAACCACAGAAGACCTGGAGGTCTGTACAGACAGGCAGTGACAAGGAGGTCATGTGGTGGGGTTTACAACCAATGAGAAGGCAGAGCAGAAAGTCAATAAAAAGGACAGACACACAGGAAGTAGGTCTCTTGCGGAGAGGAAGGACAGCAGCGGCAGGAAGGGTAAGGAGGTTTTAAGTCTCAGCTCTTAGCTACTGCTCTGATCTCTTGGCTTTTAACTCTGCAATTGGCTGTGTTTCTTATTTAATAAGATTGTTCATCTACGTGTGTGTGTTGTGTGTGTGTGTGTGTGTGTGTGTGTGTGTGTGTGTGTGTGAGAGAGAGAGAGAGAGAGAGAGAGAGAGAGAGAGAGAGAGAGAAGAGAGATGAGAGATCACACACAGGCCATGGCACATATGTAGAGGCCAGAAGACTACCTCAGATGTGGGTCCTCACCCTCCATCTTGTCGGAGCCTGGGTCTCTTGTGTTTGTCAGTGTGTACACGGGCTAACTGGCCCACGAGCTTTGAGAGGGTCTCCTCTCAGCCTCCTATCTCACTGTAAGCTGGGACAGCAGTTGCCGGCTACCGTGTCTGCCTCTCTGGGGGTCCCAGGGATCTGAACTAGGGTCTTCATGCTTGCCTAGAAAGTGCTTACCACAAAGTTATCCCACCAGCCCTCAACTGGCTTTGGTAGCAGAGCTTTATCCGGGAAGGAGCTGGCACACTGATTTATAATTTATAATGTCACAAGAGCTTTAATCTGATAGCCATCTCCTAACGCCATTGCAAGGAACACACATTAAGTCTAAATCACACTGGTGCATAATGGTTCGTAATGTATCAGTTCAGGCCTAATTGGATTTGTCGAAAAGTGAAAAAAAAAAATCCAGTTGTTTCCTCCTGTCACCTCCTGTGTGAATGCTAGAGAGACATCCATGTTAGTGGTCTCTGCATTTGTCACAACTGCGCGGAGCACACCTCCCAAGCTTTCATGTTCCGAGTCAGATTTCCATATCATTAGAATACATTAAGCCATAGCCTTCTAAAGTGTCACTTGAGCCACTTCTTTGTCACAGAGTCACCCAACGTTTGCAGGCCAGCAGGGCAAGGTGGCGCTCCTAGAACATCTCAAACACTGGACTTTTAGACCAAGCAACCCGAAGCACTACTTTATATGCAGCGCATGAAGAATGGACAGTAGGGCGGGGATGCTCGACCCTGCTCTGTCAGCTTTTGACACTCCAACACTCAGGGGTTTTTGTTGTTGTTGATTGTATCCAAGTCCCACATAGGTTGGTAGGTTTATTTCTTCATAATTTTTACAAATTGAAGCATAATGGGTTGAAGTGTGTGTGTGTGTGTGTGTGTGTGTGTGTGTGTGTGTGTGTGTGTGTGTGTACGGAGACATCCGAGGAGAACCTGCTGACTTGGTTTTTTCCTTCTGCCATGTTGAACCTGATGATCTAACTGGAGGTCAAACTGGACAGCAAGCGCCTCTACCCGCTGAGCCCTCGCACACCTGACCACTGCAACGAGTGCTTGTCACCATCAGTTTCTCAAACCCCTTCCTGTTGCTGCCGGCGGTTTTTACTACAGCCACGCTCAGAAAGGTCGTGTATTCTCTCCTTGAAGCAGCTGGAGTGAAGGAGGGTGTTTAGTAATCTGTGAGTTACAGTTCATAAAATCAATACCAAAGTTGCCCCCCTGGTTTAACCAAAGTGCAGAATTTCAAACAGGCTTTATTAACATTTGAAATGATTTCAAAATAATCATTTTAATAACTTCACATTGATTTTTATAAAATTTTGGGTTGCAATGATCAACTTTAAAATACTGCATCTTGTGGTCCCGTTCTATGAGACAAGCGCAAGTTCGTACTGGGAAGTTGCAGCGATATTAAAATGCTGTTAAGGCAATGAAGTCCCTGGTTATACATTACCCAGTGTCTTCTTTGGATTCTTGCCTAACAGGAACACTCCAGTTTCTATGAATATATTAGAAGACATGATAGAGCCATCTTTCATGAGAAGCATTCAAGGAAGACATCTCTGGAATTCCTGTTTTCCTCTTGAAAGTGCCTTTGAAAACCAGTGCGCCACAGACAGCTTTGGGAGGTCTGCCCTGCCCTCTACTGTTCCTCAAAGTAAATGCAGCCAACATCCACATTTACTGTATGTGCATGATGAGAACCAAAGTGTTTTGCCAACTATGGGCTGAGCACTCTCAGCCTGTCAGGCAATGAGTAGACATACACCATCTTAACTCCTTCTTAATATTCATCATGATCCTATGAGATGAATAAAATTCCTATTTCACATTTGAGGAACTCTTCCCAGAGACACTATGCAATGTGTTGAGGACACACAGCTAATAAAGTTCTGCAGCTCTGGTCCAGGCCGACATTAAAATACACAGTCATTCCTCTCTGTCTCATTGCCTCAACTTATAAGTAGTTATAGATATGTGTTGCTATCCTTGTTACAGAACACCACACAGACACACATGCAAATGCACATGTTCAATATGGCACATATGTCCACAGCACATACTGTAGACAAGAAAGCCATGCAAATGCTGACTAGGAAAGCAGACTTTGTGGGTATAAATAATTCTTTTCTGGTCAAATGGGCATTGAGGCCATGGCATCTTGGTGTTCCCAGCAATGGATATTGCATGGCAATTTCTTCTTTTGTTTTAAATTTTAAGTTAAATTTGTTTGGATGACATGGAAGGGTGTGTGCCCCATGGTACAAGTGTGGAAGCCAGAGGAACCTGTCCAGGGCTAATTGTCTCCTTTCTCCTTCACGTGGGTCCTGGGGTTGAACTCAGGTTGTCAGACTGTTTGGCACGCACCCTTACCTGCTGAACTATCTCCTTCCCTTTTCTTCTCTCTTTAAGACAAGGTCTCACTGCATAGCCTAGGCTGCCTTCAGCATTGTACTTTTCCTGCCTCAGTCTCCCAAACGCTAGGATGAGGGGGCTGAGAGATGCTCAGCAGTTAAAAGCACTGGTTGTTCTTCCAGAGGACCAGAGTTCAATCCCCAGCACCCACATGACAGCTCATTACCCACTATAACTCTAGACCCAGGGGGATCCAATGTCCTCTTCTGGCCTACATAGGCAGAGTGCACAGACACACATGCAGGCAAAATACCCCTACACATAAAAAATAAACAATTTTGCTAGGCGGTGGTGGCACATGCCTTTACTCCAAGAACTCCAGAGGCAGAGGCAGGCAGATCTCTGAGTTCGAGGCCAGCCTGGTCTACAAAGTGAGCTCCAGGATAGCCAGGGCTTGTCTTAAAAAACCAAAAGAAGCCGGGCGGTGGTGGCGCACGCCTTTAATCCCAGCACTCGGGAGGCAGAGCCAGGCGGATCGCTGTGAGTTCGAGGCCAGCCTGGGCTACCAAGTGAG